AATTGTATGAAATGCAAGTAGTTTCACCGTAAACGAATGATTTCAGTCACATGTAAACGGTCGATACGATACCGGCCATGTTTTTGAATGCACACGTGACGTTTTATTGACCGATTAGGTCATGTCGCTAATTAACCAATCAAAATGCTGGATGGTGCCCACGTGTCCAAATTACATAGCTCATTTAAATATGTTAATGAAAGTTCAGCGACCTCAGGGTGAACACGGAAGAGATTTACCGATAATGTAGTGCGATGTCTTGGCTTTGATTTCCATGGGAAAACGACATGATTTTTTTTGTAAATCAAGAAATTTTTTGTTTTCGAAAGATAAACTGAGTATTGAAGAAGAATTTAACACTTTTACGGTGATAACAGCTCATTGTCGAAAACTTACGAAACACAGACGTATTCAGAAAGAGTATTGACAGAGGTTGCCGCCAGAATAAAAGCAGTTTCATTGCGTGTCTGACATCCTATCACCGCTGAACAATAAATAGGTGTGACTATTTTTAGGCACGTTGTCGAAACAAATAAATAGGATTAGGAACAATGCCATTTTGGACCAGCTGGTTGAAACAATGAAGTCAGTCACGGTCTTGTTGAATTGGGGGTGCGGTTAGTAATAGGTACTTTTCAGGTTTTCAATTTTTGTTAAGAACTCTTCAATCCTGAAGCCGGAATTGGGGGTGTGGTTACTATTACGTATGCGGTTTATATTAGGACTTTAACGGTAATATGGCAACAGCTAGATTACTGAATTATACAAGTATTCCCAAACGGATTGAAATGAAATTTACTGATTGCAAAAATATGGGGAGGAGAGGCATTTAAATTTCAATGCCTATTATATGTGAATGATAACATAGAGAAACGTAAAGTGTACACAAAAAACAAACAAACAGCAGATTTGTAATAACCATAGAAAGTAGAATATAAATTAGAAAACTCACCTCTAAATACCTGACTGCAGCTGGAGTAATCAAAGCACATCCTGACATATAGAGAGAGTCCAACTGTGGACAGCTATTAGCAATAGCCAAAATACTTTTATCTGTCAGCTATGGATTCCGGATAGACCACCTCTTCCAGTGGACAATTTCTTGCAATAGCACAGATTCCGGCATCAGTCACCTGAAATTAACGATAAAAGTTTGTAAAAACCTACTGATTTTGAAAGAAGTGGGTCCTGAGGACCCTTTATTCCCAATCACAAATGCAACCCTGGTATCGACCATAGCTTCAGTGAAATGGATTTGACTAACTGATGTATTGACTGTATTGAAAGTGAACTTTAAGATACATGACAATATCAACCTGTTATACAATCAGTATACTGGCTTCATGCATATTTGATGATATTTTTATGGTAACTTTATATTATTTTCCACTATATTTTTAGAAGATATGAATTAGTTTACTTACCTGCTTACAGGTTTTAAAATTAACCATTTTCAATTTTCTGCAATGTAGTGCTAATGTCATAAGTAGGATATCGTCAACACAGCCCACACCCGCTAAAGCCACTCGTTCCAAATTATGACAGGATTCGGACATAGCTAATAACACTTCATAAGAAAACTGAACAAAGAGTAGAATAAAAAATATATAAATTTATCATATCCAAGAATGACATGATTAATATGATGATATATTTATAATACAAGCGTAGACAATGTGTATAAAGCTATGTGGTCAAGTTCCCATTTTAAGTCAACTTGTTTTGACCAATAGCATCACAGAATTCACAGAAAAGTGATTATGGTGCTGCTCAAGAAGGCAAGACACATACAATGCACGCTTTGTGAATATCTGATGAACATAGCAAACAGACTGATGAACCTAGCAAACAGACTGATGAACCTAGCAAACAGACTGATGAATCTAGCAAACAGACTGATGAACCCGGCAAACAGACTGATGAACCCGGCAAACAGACTGATGAACCTAGCAAACAGACTGATGAACCTAGCAAACAGACTGATGAACCTGGCAAACAGACTGATGAACCTAGCAAACAGACTGATGAACCTAGCAAACAGACTGATGAACCTGGCAAACAGACTGATGAACCTAGCAAACAGACTGATGAACCTAGCAAACAGACTGATGAACCTAGCAAACAGACTGATGAACCTGGCAAACAGACTGATGAACCTGGCAAACAGACTGATGAACCTGGCAAACAGACTGATGAACCTGGCAAACAGACTGATGAACCAGTTCTTCCAGAGACTCTTTCCTTTGCACTTGATTCATTGCTTATCTTATCCATAGTATCTTTCATCATCATGATGAGAATGATATACACTCAAGACACTTGATTATTTACATTTATAAAGATTAAACAAAGCTATGTGTTGCCTCTTTTTAAGTTTCTTTATCAAATTCATTAAATACTTGACCCAAATAGTCACACATAATAAAACATTTGGATATCTATGGTAAGCATATACATGTAGTTCAATTTACTAATTTGCAAAAGTCAAAAACAGTCAATCAGCAAAGTGCAATCTTAGCAAGGCTGTACATAAATAATCAATGGTGAAAAAAAAGTAATGACGGGGTCTCCATATTATGCACTATGTTTAACTTTTTACAAAACGATAATAGGTTTCAATTTGGAACTGTTACAGCCATTTTAATTATGAGCATTAGCAAACTTCTTAATGAGTGAATGGTTATGCAAATTAGCCATTATCTCCACTTGTGTTTTTCAGTTTACCATGGAAGTTCAAATCTAAATAGCTCACACAATTCTTGTTTATTTTGAGTGAAACTTTCACACAACGTTTATCAGTTGTTTATTAACAAATGGGCGTCCAGGCGTATATTTAGTATGTTTTGTTTTCATATTTCATATTACAAAGTTGTCAAGCAGGATGTGTGCAGTATAGTCAATCCCGGTCAGTATTTCACACTTCGAATGTCATTGTCCGAGAATGCAAAGCTTTAAAAATAAGCCCAGACGTCCTTTTGTTCGTAGAGACGTTGTCAAAATAGTGTGAAAATGTCAAGACAAACTGACAAAAACTGTGGGAGCTAATTAATTTTCAATCTCTCTGACCAACCAGAAAACACGAACGGAGATAATGGCTGTTTTATGAAAGTGACGTTAATCGTCCACAAAAATGGCTATTGCATCACGACGACATGCCAAAATCTATCATACACCGACGCTTGCTGATGTTCAATCGTCAGATAAAAAAATAAAATAAAAATATTTAGAATACTAGGGAAACGAACGTAAAATTGTCCGCGGAGTCAAAACCTTGCGTGAAAACTGTCATGGTGTCGTGTTATCTTTTCCACTTAGAGAGGGGCACAATGGATTACGTAAAGCCGATGAGATATTCATACAGTTATACAAACATAGCAATCCCCATTGGGTGGGTTGAGTCTAAATTTACCTTTCCCCAAACCTTTAACAAATACTCCGTATGACCCAGTTTTTCAGGATCTCCGGTGAAATGGATCGTGTGAAGTTAGACGGCTAGGTTGAAATGGGCCGTAATATTTTGCGACACAATGGTTATTCACAGTTTTTGTACTCAATCGTTCAAACGCCGGTGAGAAAAAGTCGAAATGGAAGACAACTATTGTAAATCGAAACAGGTTTCATTCAACTACGAGCAGACGCGGAGGGTCGATAAAAGTTATAACGAACTCTGACCTCTGGAAATACCTCATTCATAGAGTGCCATAGTACCAGAGGTCGCCGAACACAGCAGTACAACGTACTTTGCGACATCGCTACAGATGCATGCTAGCTGACAAGGGGGTTTCCGATTAAGGTAACCAAGATGGCATCGCAGAGTGCGTGATTTTTCCCACAGTGTTTAAAAACAGCATCTCGTTGCCGATGTTTCTGTAATTAGCGGGGTATTTTTTATTTTTAAGTAACCGAGCGTTTCACGTTTGTGTATTTTGCCACTGAAAAGTTAGTTATCGATGACAGCACAACAATGGTCTGAATGATGTTTATCCACTACTACATCGCAATGCTATCAGCACGGTGATCGTTACAGCAAAACAACAAATGTAAAATTAGTCAGATTTATAATGCCTTCGGAGAAAAAAATGCGTGAAAAACAATATTTAACAGTATTCCACTGGAAGCTGCCAGGCTAGAAGTTGTCGACATGTTGCGAGATAAGGGTGAAAAAGTTTACTTATCATTTACAACTGTATGTTTTTTGTATTCCGCTTGCATGCTGGAAGCGTCTACGTCTTGTCTTTTCTGTAGTTTGCAAGACTAGTTGGTAGCGCTTGAGGTAAGTTAAACAGGGTCGCGGACAGGAAGTTACACATCGCCGCACCATAACTGAGGCCAGCAACTCATTTGCATATAACATCAACAGTGACTTGTCAATCAAAGAGCAACGTAAACAAACTTTCGGGACATTTAATCACATACGTGTGCCTTGATTCCCTATATTTTAAAATCCATTTTTGGGCATGTTCCAGCATTGAAAATGCTCCGAAATTTCAACACTATCTAGCCAAGACTGGGTAAGAAAAGCAAAAAAAAAAAAAAAATTCACTTCGAGTGCCCACGAACATGCATCTATACCTTAATCATAATCTGGGTAATTTGATTTGAACATAGAAAACCTGACATACTATGTTATTTACTTTGACTTTCTAGTCTAGTCTGATTTCATCTCCCTAACAATGTATCAAATAGTTACGACTTACCGACATACAGGCACTTAATACCAGTGTTGTAATATTTTCAGCTCTCTTCCTGTCTTCTAACAATGGATACAGGGTCTCACCACTAACTTTTGTACAAAATGACAAAGCCAAGGATTGTAAATTTTTACAGTGATTGACCATAGAACGGAGAATAGAATCGGTGACAACACCACCACAACAGTTTAGATCTACCAGATCTAGCTGTGGACCTAATGAACTGAATATCTGGGGAAAAATACATATGAATAATATAATAAATACATATGAATAATATAATAAATACATATGAATAATATAATAAATATATATGTTATTGAAAAGACAAGATTCAAAAACATATAATTGTTTTGTTTTTTTAGCAATTATGCCGTCCTTTTGGGAAATGAACTTCAACCCTCCATTCATCAGTCAATCAAAGAGAAATCTGAAAAATCATCTGTTTAGAAAACAGTTTTTCATTTAATTTCGATTTTAATGGTAAAGTTATTTTTTAAGTATTTTGAATTTCTTTTTTATAAAACAGTTAATTTGTTGGTTAATGTGATTTGTTTTCATGTATTCTAAAATGGTGTGTGATGCAGTGAGCATCACTTAATACAAATTTATTATCATTATTTTATAAATCCCTATTCGATGTACTGTCTTCGTGCATACTTTGAGGTATCCTCATAATACCCTCATATTATATTCAGTTATTTCATTTATATTAACTAATAGCTCTTGTGTTGCAATGACAACCTATTTTTTATATATTTAGTTTTAACCTTGTGCCAGTATTATATGATTTACTTATAACTCTTATGTTGCAAGTATGGCGTTTTAGTATTTATTTACTAAGAACTTGTGCATTACAAGCACAGAGCATTTCTTATTATTTAGTTTTGAATTGTACAGTGTAAAAATTATTAAATTATTTACTCAAAACTCATATGTTGAAGGTACAGCTTTTTTCTTATCAGATGAATCTTACAGAAGAATACAAGGCTGTACAAACTACATTGATAAGTTCCAACAAATTGTATCAAGATTGGTCTTTGATTATTCGGACTGTGAACGAGCCAGCCTTTATACCAGTTTCATGCTTTTATTCATTACACTTTTCACTAATACTGTAAAATGACTAGTTTTCACTGGGTTTAAATTTTGCTGATTTGCCATTTCAGGCATATTCAGTGGGTTTTAAATTCACGGTTTATCATTTAGATAATGTGTTCTATGCTAAATTTTACATATTCACTGGGTTTTAATTTAGCGCATTTTCCAGTCAGCAAAATAGGCAAAATTAAAACCCAGTGAATAATTAACCCCTTTACAGTAATTCAGACAAGTGGCTGCTGTCTCACCTTTTCCATGTTTTCATCACTCAGAGTACTTATCCCACAGAGTTTGACACTTTGTAAGTGTACCAGTCTACACAGGATATCCGGAAGATGTTGACCGTTGACTTGTATTCCACATAATGAAAGGTCTTCTAGACTGCTTGGTAAATGTAACAAACCTTCACAATCTGCAGTGGAGCTCACTTTGTAACAGTATGCTAGGTCTAGGTTTTGAAGATATTTGCAATTACTTCCAATCTGAAAACACATAGGCATATTTCAATTACAAATCTTACTTGATAGTTGTTGGGCTTTAAGTGGTACTGTCAGATGTAGAAATTTTACCCTATAAAATTAGGAATCATAGCACATCTATTTTAATAATCAATTCTCAGAGATTCAAGTTTCCCAGTTCTGAACACTTTCTAAAAATGTGTGTCTCAAAACTTTTAATTTTTACCTGCCTATCGACACCATAAAAATACAATGTTTCCTTTCAAATAACCACCAATGACTTATCACTGAATTGGTCTGATTCATTCATGACCAATTTTGTTCAATGCAGGCAAAATAAGTTAGATGCCATTCCTCACTTCAAGCTCATTTTAAACTTACATTAATGTTGTCATAAGCGACCAATTTATAGTTTCACTTCACCCAACAAAACATGTTTTGATATTGGTTAATACTGAGATTGTTATAATGTTCATTCAACCTTTGTGTCGGCACCATGAAAACAGTAATACATATCTTTAAATTACATTCATCATTTCTTTTCTATATTGCCATAAATCAGTTACATATTTCCTAATTAAAGCTGATGAGGTTTTTTCCACATCCTCATTTTTATTCCAAAGAAACACTAAGAAGGAAATTAAATCTATATTAATTTAAATTCTGAACGACACTTCAAATCTACTAGTAGTATGACACTACTAGTAGTCACAGTTTAAGTTGCCTTCGCAAATCATACAAGTTCATACTCCTGGATTCTGCCGTAAATTTGCCCTGCGCCATTAAACTGCAGTTTGGGTTTTTGAAAAAAAATTTCAGCAGTTTTTAAAGTTTTATTTTAAATATTTTGGCATAATTTTTCAGACATTTCAATCTTTCCTGACACCTGAAATAGTCTATTTAAGTTTTTATTCAAGAGTATATTTATTGTGACTAGCGTGAATGGGTAAGAATGTTATCACTGTAAAAAATGTTAAATTATTCTTTTAATGCTCAGTTTATCTTTTGAAACAATTAATTTTTGATTTAAAAAAAAAAAAATCATGCCATTTTCCCATCAAAATCCAAGCCAAAAGATTATACAACACAGACAAATCTCTTCCGCGTTGCATTCAATAACATTAACATATTTAAATAAGCTATGGTAATCTGAACACGTTGGCATCATCCAGCATTTTGATTGGTTAATTAGCGATTTAGGTCAACTCATGCAAGTGAAAGGACATGGCGGATACCCTACAGCATCGAGCGTTTATACGAGACCGGAATCATTTGCTTACGATGAAACTAAGTTGAATTTTATTTGTATTTCATAACAATTCAACAAATTTATTTTTTGTACGTTATTATAATCACTGCTGAGTGATAACTAACAATTGTGAAACGCAGCATGACCGGATTGCGCAACCGTGATCATTTGCTGCTACGCAATGTAGTTGTGTTCATTAAAAACATATTTTGATCACAAAAACTTCAGCGTATAATGGCGCTGCAAGTGATGCTGACGCAACACTGAAGCGAAGCAAAGCAAAGACAAACTGAAATGAAGCTAAACTGTTTATATGAACCTGAAGTCTAATAAGTCAAAGCCTATGTGACAGCTGTTTATATGAACCTGAAGTCTAATAAGCCAAAGCCTATGTGACAGCTGTTTATATGAACCTGAAGTCTAATAAGCCAAAGCCTATGTGACAGCTGTTTATATGAACCTGAAGTCTAATAAGCCAAAGCCTATGTGACAGCTGTTTATATGAACCTGAAGTCTAATAAGTCAAAGCCTATGTGACAGCTGTTTATATGAACCTGAAGTCTAATAAGCCAAAGCCTATGTGACAGCTGTTTATATGAACCTGAAGTCTAATAAGCCAAAGCCTATGTGACAGCTGTTTATATGAACCTGAAGTCTAATAAGTCAAAGCCTATGTGACAGCTGTTTATATGAACCTGAAGTCTAATAAGTCAAAGCCTATGTGACAGCTGTTTATATGAACCTGAAGTCTAATAAGTCAAAGCCTATGTGACAGCTGTTTATATGAACCTGAAGTCTAATAAGTCAAAGCCTATGTGACAGCTGTGCTGTAGATGGCATACAAATATTATGCACTTTAAATATACTTAGCTTAGAGCATACATACATCACACATAGAACTGTGAAAATGAATCATGCTTACTTGTTTAAGACCTTCTTTGGTGACTCTGCTACAACCATGAAGAACTAATCTGAAAGATCAAATTTATTGGGAATAAATATTAGAGTAAGAATGATGTACAAAATTTTACACTTATCATGGGTACATTACAACCTTCAAAAACTTCTATTTTGATAAATAAATACAGTGATGTAGATAATTCTTCCAATAGGTGGTTACATTGGAAAATAGACGAGCACAGCTAGTGAAAGAAGGGCTGGTTTTTACACATTCTAATACAAAATCAAAGAAGGCTTAGAAAGAACTCCCGTATGTATTGGAGACACATTAAAAATTAATTCAAAATTACTTGTACTTGAGATATTATAACTAATATGAACAGATTTGAGTGTAAAACTAATAAGGTCTGTGCAATGTAAAACTAATAAAGTCTGCATAATGTAATATCTAAGTACCAAATTTCATTGAAAATAGAACCCAAAAATTGTGAATTACTTATGTTAATTAGGTAATTAATATGCACAATTATTTACTCCAATACTAATCAGGTCTCTGCATAGTCCGAGAAGATCTGTCGCAAGTCTCATTAAAATGTGTATAGTACTTGAGATATCAGGCGAAAAGCTGAAAATTAACTAATTATGCTAATAAGGAGATTAATATGCACAAACTAATCAGGTCTCTGCATAGTCATTAAGTAAGAAATGTGATTACTACTTAAATTACCACTTAAATATTAATATATTAAAATATTAAAAGCTGAAAATTAATTAATTATGCAAATTAGGTAATTAATATGTACTGATATTACCCTAAAAACTATCAGGTCTGTGCAGTGTCCTATGACATGTGTGTACCAAGTTTTATTGAAATGTGATGATTAGTACTTGAGATATCAGTGGAAAGGCCGAAAATTGATAAATCATTATGCAAATAAGGTAATTAATATGCACTGATTTTTACCCAAAACTAATCAAATCTGCGCATTAGTTCAGAGTACATACTGTATGTGCCAAGTTTCATCAAAATCCAATGAGTGGTTCTTTAGATATCAGTGGAACAGTCATGGAACAGCTACAAATCAGCTAATTATTATGCAAATTAGGTAATTAATATGCATGGATTTTTACCAAAACCTAATCAAATCTGCGCATTGGCCCAGAGCATCTATGTACCAAGTTTCATCAAAAATCAATGCATAGTTTTTGGGATATCGGTGGAAAAGACAGACACACATACAGACACACTAACTGCAAAGACTCCCATAGACTGGCGGAGTCGGGATGATTAGTTTTTTTTTTTTTTTAGTTTAAATAAAATAAAAAAATTCGCGAAATGAAGTGTTAGCGCGAAATCACCCCGACTGGTTTATTCTGCTGGAAATTCATTACTATTAAATATTCATGATGCACATATAATAATGAGGTGGGCGCGGAAATACGTGCATAATGAGGTCAACATGGTAAAGGTCACATTGCAGACCCAACATGGCTGCACGTTGAAATTTGAGTTTGTCGTAGTCGTCGTAAATAGACTTAAAAAGTAACTCGTAGTAGTTGTAGAATTAAAAAAAACGGCTGCTACGATCAGCCGACGTCTTCTCGGTCAGAGGTCAGTTGAAGAGACGTTGTGATTGACTTAGATGATTGTCAATTAGAACACTCATTAACATAATTACCCATTGAAAAATCGACGGGTTCCTGCAGTGTCGATAGAGGGCCATGCAGAATAAACCAGTCGGGGTGATTTCGCAGTTACAGGGGATTTTGTGCTAACACCTCCATTTCGCGAATTTTTTTATTTTATATAAACTACAAAAACAAATTAATCGCCCCGACTGCGCCAGTCTAAGACTCCCATTGTGTGCTTCGCACATGGGAGTCAAAAATAACCAAAACATAATTTCTATTGTCATTACGAGACCTCACAAATTTAGCAAACTTCTCTGTGTGGGGTCCAGTCAAACTTCGTGCTTGGGGCTGCATATTTGTTTGTATTATTAGAGGATGCTTATGTGCGTTGTCATTCTATATTTAGGGTACGTATTTTCTAATTTAGTAGGATGCAAATACACAGTACAATACCGCAAAATTTATGGCGTTACGGTAACAGATGTGTAATATTAATATACTATATTATAATTTGTCACTTGGGATTGTTTAATGCAAATACTAAGGTTCTTACTTTTTCAGATTATGACATTTCTGTGCAAGGACACTTACGCTACCATCACCAAGATCATATAAACCACCAATATCAAGAATTTCCTGAAATAAATAATGCAAGATTAAAGTCAACATCCTACTACAGAGTGGTCTCGAAACAAGTCAACATCCTACTACAGAGTGGTCTCGAAACAAGTCAACATCCTACTACAGAGTGGTCTCGAAACAAGTCAACATCCTACTACAGAGTGGTCTCGAAACAAGTCAACATCCTACTACAGAGTGGTCTCGAAACAAGTCAACGTCCTACTACAGAGTGGTCTCGAAACAAGTCAACGTCCTACTACAGAGTGGTCTCGAAACAAGTCAACATCCTACTACAGAGTGGTCTCGAAACAAGTCAACATCCTACTACAGAGTGGTCTCGAAACAAGTCAACATCCTACTACAGAGTGGTCTCGAAACAAGTCAACGTCCTACTACAGAGTGGTCTCGAAACAAGTCAACGTCCTACTACAGAGTGGTCTCGAAACAAGTCAACGTCCTACTACAGAGTGGTCTCGAAACAAGTCAACATCCTACTACAGAGTGGTCTCGAAACAAGTCAACATCCTACTACAGAGTGGTCTCGAAACAAGTCAACATCCTACTACAGAGTGGTCTCGAAACAAGTCAACATCCTACTACAGAGTGGTCTCGAAACAAGTCAACATCCTACTACAGAGTGGTCTCGAAACAGCAACTGTTTGCAGGATGAATTACAATGCCTGTACAGGTACATTATAGCATTAAGTAAAATTCTTAAATCGATATTTAGAAGTTGGTTTATTGTGTTGGGCTAGTTCTTGATGGAATTTGAATATTTTTAAATTTCCATCATAAAACAGTTCCTGCACTGTCAATGGTAGAACTCTGCATACATGTTGCATTAATAACTTACTCATTCATCCATGACAAGCACTTATTCAAGAATGTTGCCCTCCAAATCTATCAAAAAATTACTACCGGTAGTGTAAATAGTGAAAGCATAAGAATACATGATGAGCAAATTTTGACTTTATATCACACTTTTCCAGATATCCTAATAGACCTATACATTTAGCTTGACAGAGGGTGTTAAATTGAATTTCTGAAATATAGACAATGTAGCCAAATTGGGAACATTTTTTTTTACCATTTTGGGTACTTTCTCTTGTCAGAGTTGATGATTAATTAGCTCACTGAATTTTGGTAACCATTCACCTGCATGTAAAGATATTATGTTGAACTCACCAAGTTTGACAGTAGTGTCTGCGCAATATGTATTACAATTTCATCACAGAGTTTACCACAGAATGGAATTAACAATGTTCTAATCGTTGGATTGTTTGTTACCAAGATTTGAACTCCATCATTCTCTAGTTTTGCACACTGTCTCAAATCTACATGCAGCAAGACAGGAGATGACACATGCTGAAGTCCTTGGAAGGTTAGATGGGGAAGCTTTCTTAACTCTAAAGTGTGCAGCTCATCTTGATTTGATACAAGTGACTTTATTCCAACATCTGGAAATAATAAAAAGGTTGAACCACTTGTTTTTATCAATGCATACAGGATGAAAACAATTCTGTGAGCCCCTAAGATTCTTGCAATAGTCACTGTGAACCCCTAAGATTCTTCCAATAGTCACTATGAGCCCCTAAGATTCTTTAAATAGTCACTTTGAACCCCTAAGATTCTTGCAATAGTCACTGTGAGCCCCTAAGATTTTTTCAATGGTCACTATGAGCCACTAAGATTCTTTCAATGGTCACTGTGAGCCCCTAAGATTCTTGCAATAGCCACCGTGAGCCCCTAAAATTTTTTCAATGGTCACTGTGAGCCCCTAAGATTCTTTCAATGGTCACTGTGAACCCCTAAGATTCTTCCAATAGTCACTATGAGCCCCTAAGATTCTTTAAATAGTCACTTTGAGCCCCTAAGATTCTTGCAATAGTCACTGTGAGCCCCTAAGATTCTTGCAATAGTCACTGTGAGCCCCTAAGATTCTTTCAATAGTCACTGTGAACCCCTAAGATTCTTCCAATAGTCACTATGAGCCCTAAGATTCTTTAAATAGTCACTTTGAGCCCCTAAGATTCTTTCAATGGTCACTGTGAGCCCCTAAGATTCTTGCAATAGTCAATGTGAGCCCTTAAGATTCTTTAAATAGTCACTTTGAGCCCCTAAGATTTTTGCAATAGTCAATGTGAGCCCCTAAGATTCTTGCAATAGTCACTATGAGCCCCTAAGATTCTTGTAATAGTCACTGTGAGCCCCTACGATTCCTGCAATAGTCACTGTGAGCCCCTAAGATTCTTGCAATAGCCACCGTGAGCCCCTAAAATTGTTTCAATGGTCACTATGAGCCACTAAGATTCTTTCAATGGTCACTGTGAGCCCCTAAGATTCTTTAAATAGTCACTGTGAGCCCCTAAGATTCCTGCAATAGTCACTGTGAGCCCCTAAGATTCTTGTGATAGTCACTGTGAACCCTTAAGACTCTTGCAAAAGTAACTGTGAGCCCCTAAGATTCTTGCAATAGTCACTGTGAACCCCTAAGATTCTTGCAATAGTCACTGTGAACCCCTAAGACTCTTGCAAAAGTAACTGTGAGCCCCTAAGATTCTTGCAATAGTCACTGTGAACCCCTAAGATTCTTGCAATAGTCACTGTGAACCCCTAAGATTCTTGCAATAGTCACTATGAGCGCCTAAGAATCTTGTGATAGTCACAGTGACCTTGAATATTTCACTTCTACAAAATGTTTTCTGATTCACAATTTACTCACCTGAAATTTCATTGCACCCATGTACTGTAATTGACTGCAATTTACAAGAGGACTTTTCAATATTTCTGAGTACATCGTCTGTGACTTGCTGGCATTTGTAAAAACATATCCTGGTCAATGCTGGTGAAAACAGATGATAACTGATATGTCTTAGATAATCTGGGGTGAGTCTATCATGGCAAGCCAGGCGTTCCAATAACAATTCTTTGTATATTGTTGGAAGGAAATTCCCCACACGACTGATTGTGTCCAGATTTGTTCCAACACATTCCAAGCACAGGTCAGAAAGTTTCTTTACCATCTTAATTAATGCGTCTAGGATCTTTTTATTCTGGTATGGTTGATGGAAAATTAAATAGATTTATATTTAATACATACATGTATCAAATCTACACTGCAATCAACAAAGCCATGTTTGTACTTGATATTTATAAACTCAATTGTTTTCATTTGAAGTCACCATTCAAATTCAACGTGGATTAGCTTGGTCGATACCACTTACATTCTACCAATATTAATGTATATGGTAATCAAAGTGTAACTGTCATATGAGTTGATAAATATTTAGCTTGAATTAGTAAAATGATTAATAATAGTATTGCCATTTTCATTGCACGTGGCAATTTTCGGAATTAATAGCAAACTAGAATTTTAAGGTATGAATGATTTTAATACATCATTATTATAAGTATTTTGTCATTTATTTGAAGTATTATCAGCATTGTACACTAATTTATTTGAATCAATATTCTGACCTTATTTCAGCATTTATGTACATGATAATTTTAAATATCACATCATGCCTTCTAGTGCTTTCTTAGCTTCTGACATATCTCGGTATTAAATTTATAAAGTTATTCTGCAAAAGGGAAAAAAAAACATGTTAAAAAGATACTTTTATGAAATGAACTTACATGTATGTTTCAATATAACTTTTCAACTATTTTCGTGCAGAGTTATTTCCATGTTCCGTATTGTTTGTACATCTATTAATACATGAAGTTTGGTGGAAAAATCTTGCAAATTTATAAGATTCATTTGCAGAGTTTGTTTATAAATTTAAAAATAAAATTACCGGTAAGAAAGTTATGTGGGCACACACTGCTGTAAGTAAAATGCATTTAAATTCACAAGGTGTTCTACATATACCACTAAGAATCTATTTCATGAGTTTGATGAATATTTTGAGGGTCCTAGATTTCAGCTGCCCAACACTTATTCTGTTTCAAGAGAAAATTTTGCTCATTGTTAACGACAAGGATCCCTTTATTTGATTTGGTGAGCAAAATTGTGCTAAAGGTAGCAGAATAGTTTTTTGGGCACTTTTCACATTTTTTTTGAAAATCACACGAATAGCTCCCTAAGGCATGCTACATACATTGATGTTATTATTTTATTGAAAAAAAATATCTTGTACAAGTAAACTGATTTTTTTCTTGTGTGCAAACAAATGGCCAAGTTTTTGTTTATCCAGTGTACACCAAACTAGTGCATCTCATTAATATGCATGGTTTACAAACATAACTGAACTGAGGGTAAATAGTTTTAAGTTGAGCCACTTTCTTTATTTGCTATTTACAAACAACTGATAAGATATCTGTTTGTAGTTTACACACAGCTGATAAGATGTGTGCACTGCTGCCTTTCTAGACAGGAAGTACAGCAAAGACAAAACAATCGCTTTTGAACAACAAATTTTGAATAAACAAAAAAGTACATGAATGTACCACTTCAATGTAATTATATGTTAACAGAATAAAAACTTACAATAAATTTCTGTAATATTTTTTCTTGGCTTTGTCATTGAAAGGTGTCTGACCACGGGGTTACTTTCTTAGTCCAGAAGTAATGCAGTTACATTGGGAGGGGGCTCCCTTTTACAAAATATGGTTGCAAACAATAAAATACGGTCATCTGTGGTGGCTATGCATTGCATGAAAATTCTGATAACAGGCCGCAAACTACATGTAAAGGTTGATCAATGATAAGAATATGCTTGGACCTGGTTTATATAATCCATTTTTCAGAGGAGTTTTCACCAAGTAGGCATACTTGCATGCTTAGGTTTTTCTAAATTCGTAAATTATGTTACATGTAATAAATCTGTCTGATAAATACTTGGTTGTTTTATCTAATGTGCTCATGCGAACAAAATGCACGGCAACGAAATAGTAGCGTGACCCCCCCCCCCCCCGGGGCCGACGTCTTGACATCGGATAGTGGGCCAGTGTTTCACGCAAGGCAAGGGTTGACTTTTTCGTACGACTTCGGTAAAAAATAAAAGTATCATCTAAAATCTAGGTAGTTTTTATAGATGATAACAGTGAGTCCGGTTACAATTAAATTTTGAAGAGATTCATCTACAAGTATAAGACCGGAGGTTACTGCGACGGTAAAACTCTGTTTTGCGGGATTTGATTTTTAATAGCACAGGAAATGCTACATGCCGGCATACATCACTGGGTCACATTTTACAATTATTCTATTCACACCAATTAAAAAACAGGGCAGCTTCCTTCATTAATGTGCAAAATATGCAAAGAAGGAGAGGGTTGTCAGTAATTCTTTAGTTTAGTTGTCATTCACTAATTATGGACGAGATAGTAAGCACGCGAAAATTTCCAAGAAAAAGAAAGCAAGGAAGAAAGAAGAAAAACGTCAAAAGAATGATCACTCCTGTCAAAAAATATGTTGAAAGAGACGATGCTGGGTTCGTACAGAACGGATTTCCCCGTCGAAACCAGTGTCAGCCATGAAGTGGGCGAAGAAAGTTTTACCGTGACACTGAGAGTCCTGTTCAAAACGTTCGAGAGATGTCTGTATCTCGCAGGAAAATATTGTTACCTTCCGACGTAGAAGAAGAAAGTGAGAGTGAATGTCACGGCCGATCGTTTGAAGACGGCGAGATTCGACTCGTTGACATGTCACTGTTGAATGGCGCCCTAGAAAAAGAGATTTGTCAATTTTGCAAAGTAGGCAATATCTCAATAGTGGAGCGCAGGCGTCACGGTCTAGGCAGTCAGTTTGAATTTCTTTGCACGCAAGGAGATTGTATTCGATCGCAACTGAGCCAGCCAAGCTTCCCGTCATCCCGAAAGAAAGGGGTCAGTTTTCGAAATAAATAGAAAGGCTGCCATTGGAATGCGAGCGACTGGAAAGGGACGGCGTGCTCTGGTGAAACTGTCAAGCTATTAGGGGTTACCTCAACCAGTAACGGGTACACCCTTTCGCCAGTATGTACAAGCTGCCTCCAGGA